TTACACAGTAAAGTCTTTATATACAAGAGGGAACAAAAAGAACTTTAACCTAGCACCCAGTCCAGTCAGCACATGACAGCACATGGCGACAAACATCCAAAAGTATTGTGAGTCTTGATAGCTGGCTCTTCCGTACTACACACTCCTCTGTTTTGTTTCTTGTTAAACGCAGAGTATATGACCGTTGCAGAAGCTCTCGTGTTGGGCCTTTCACTAACACTCTTCTCATGGGCTACGTGAGTTGACTTCAGGCCCAACTGATTATTACTCCCCCTCAAACTAAGTGTCTGCTGAAGCGAGACACTGAGTTTGTTCCTCAGTTTGACAAAGGCTTCCTGAGACAAAGACTTTGTGAACACATCTGCAACTTGAAGATTTGCAGGTATGTGTTTGACCTCAAGCATTTTCATCGCCACACGTTCTCTTACATAATGATAGTCAATCTCAAAATGCTTCGTTCTTTTGTGAAACCGTGGATTTGCAGTTAAACACACCGCAGATAAGTTGTCACAGAGAAGCAGAGGCATTCGTTGCTGTTGTAGACCCATCACCTTGAGTAAGTTCTGCAACCAGGCTACTTCAGAAGCAGCCATTGACATTGTTCGATACTCAGCCTCCGTTGACGACTTGGAGACAGTGTCATGACGTTTTGCAGACCAGGACACAATGTTGGACCCAAGAAATGTACAAAACCCGCCTGTGCTTCGTCGTGTTTGCTTGCAACCAGCCCAATCTGAGTCACTGTAACACACCAGAGTGGAGTCACTGGTTTTGTTGATGCTGATTCCCATTTCTGTCGTTCCTTTAACATAACGAAGCACACGCTTTAGAAGATTAAAATCAGAAACACTTGGCTGATGCATTTTCTGACATATATAGTTAACCGCAAATTGCAGATCAGGTCTTGTCAAAGTCAAGTACTGGAGCTTTCCTGCAAGGCTCCTGAAATACGATGGCTGAGAGAAAACCTCTTCTTGACCCGCAAGATTATCAAGTTTCATCGGAAGAGGAGTTGCCATAGGCGCACAATCAACCATACCTGCAACTACTAACAGATCTTGAGCATACTTGGCCTGATTCATGAACAAACCATCAGGTCCTTTATGTACTTGGATGCCAAGAAAATAATGTATATCTCCCATATCCTTTATTCTGAACTCGGTGTTAAGACTCTTCATTAACTTCTCTACCAAGATATCATTGTTACCCGTCAAGATCATATCATCCACATACAGTAACAGATACACCACATCTGTACCTCGATGATAGATGAAGAGAGACGGATCAGGAAAACTACACTGAAAACCAAACTCAATCAGGTAATTACTAAACTTGTCAAACCAGGCTCGCGGAGCCTGCTTGAGACCGTAAATGGCCTTCTTCAGTCTGCAAACATAATCAGGTCTTTGTGCATCAACATATCCAGGAGGTTGAATCATGAACACATTCTCTTTCAAATCACCATGAAGAAACGCGTTTTGAACGTCTAACTGACGGATCTTCCAAGCTTTGGTGACTGCAACATGTAGAACCGTTCGGATTGTAGCTGTTCTGACAACAGGACTAAACGTTTCTAAGTAATCCACACCTTCTTCATGTTCATTACCGCGAGCAACAAGTCTGGCACAAAGCTTTAAAACAGTGCCATCTGCATTCAGTTTTTCCTTAAAGATCCAACCGCAATGCAGAGGATTTTGGCCTTCTTCAGGAGGAACAAGATCAAAGGTTTTGGTTTCCTCCATATTATTCATCTCAACATCCATAGCGTCATGCCAATCTTTGTCTTTTAACGCAGCTTGAACAGACTTTGGTTCTGAATTTCTTGACTTCACTGTGAATAAAGCGTACTTGGGATTCGGTTTGATGATCCCTGAGCGAGCTCTTGTTGTCATTGTATGAAGAGGTGGTGGAACTACAGGCTGAGGCAGAATGACCTGTTGCACTTCTTCTTCATCATGGTCAGAGTCACTTGACTCAACCAACTGATCTGCTTCTTCATTGACTAGTGGCATCTGTTGTGGTGGGTTTTGAATGATATTTCTTGTCAGTGGCGGGAATTCCTCTTCCATGTACCGAAACTGTCCCTCTTCTTCAACAGATTTTACTTCAGGATGCACAGCAGTTTTCAACCACGCATTTCTGAGAACAGAGGAGGTAGTGTTCTGAAACCGACTATAAATATCACCAAACGGGAATGAGGCTTCATCAAACAAAACATGCCTACTGATGTAAACCTTCCCAGTAGGAGGATGAAAACATCTGTACCCCTTTATATTTTTCATTATAGCCAAGGAACACACACACCAGTGACTTGGGATCAAGTTTGTTTGACATGTAAGGCCTCAGATAAGGAAAGCACTTACATCCGAACACTCTAAGAGATGTATAAACAGGTGCTTCTCCATTGAGACGTTCATAAGGACTTTGATTGTCTGGAAGAGATGAAGAAGGTAACAGATTTCCGAGAAAAGAAGCCGTAAAGAATGCTTCAACCCACAGAGTTTGAGGAGCTTTGCATTGATAGAGCATAGTGAGACCAAGCTCTGTGATGTGCCTGTGCTTCCTTTCCGAAATTCCGTTTTGTTGTGGCGTGTGTGGACATGACACAAGATGTTTAATCCCACAGTTTGCAAGATGTGTCAGGAACTTAGTATTCACAAACTCGCCACCACCATCTGACTGAAACTTTCTTATCTTGTAATTGTATTGATTCTCAACCAGACGCTGAAACCTCATGAACACAGTATAAAAATCAGATTTTAACTTGAGGGGATAGAACCAAGTAAATCTTGAATAATTATCGACAAAAATTGCATAGTACTTAAAGCCTTGCGTTGACACAACAGGACTTGGACCCCAAAGATCACAGTGAATTCTTTCTAAAGGGTGACTTGACACAGTCTCAGAAGATAAAAAAGGAAGTTTGCAACTCTTCCCAAGTTGACATGCATCACACAACAACTGAATGTCTTTCTTATTCAAAACTACAGCCTTATTCTTGACTAAATACTGAAGAACTTCCTTGTGAGGATGACCTAGGCGACGATGCCACACCTCATCACTTGTGACTTGCTGCCTTGAAGAGTAGTAAGCCTGAAACCGATTGTTCTTCAGCACATAAAGATCCTTATCCTTTCTTCCTTGAGCTATCACCTGCTTGGTTTCCTTGTCCTTAACACACACAGATTCAGCATCAAATATGAACTTACAAGGAAAAGCAGATGTAAGCTTTGACACAGACAGCAAAGACTTAGTAATAGTAGGACAAACCAATACTTCATCAAGTGGTAAAGTACCTTGTGGTGTGTGAATAGCGACAGAACCAACATGAGTGATAGGGAGATAGTCTCCATTACCCACTATGACTTGATCATTGCCATTATACGGTTGACTACTAGTGAGCTGAGAAGCATCATTAGTGATGTGAGAAGATGCAGCTGAGTCAGGGTACCAGTCTTGACCTGATCTCTGTTCTTGATCAGACAGTCTCACCGTAGCCAAGGCATTGTGAAGGGTATCTGGACTTTGATAATCCTGATCAAATCTGTTGTAGCACTTCGCAGCAGAGTGACCATATCGTCCACATATCTGACAAGTTGGACGACTGTTGTTGTTGTTTGAAGTTCCTGCAAACTGTTGCTGAAACCCGCGACCTCTTGTTGAGTAAGACTGAGAGCCACGACCTCTGTATCCACCTCGGTTATTATATCCTCCTTGTCCACGGTTAGAGTATCCACGGCCAGCATGAAACGCCAGATGAGCATTAACCTCCTGAGTTTGATTTTGCAACTGAAGCTTTTCATCAAAAGCAATAAGCTTGAACACAGCATCTTCAAAACTCATCTCAGCCGCAGTATCCATAGAATGCTCAATAACTGTGCAAATAGACTCATATTCTTTGCCTAGACCACCTAAGGCACCATAAATAGCTTCTTGTTCAGACATGGCACATCCTATAGAATCTAGCTGGTCACACACACCTTTGACTTCATTAATACTCTGTCATAGTCTTCTGACCTTTGGACATGCCTTGAAGCTTTCTTTGTAGGTCTAACTTGCGAGTAGCTGAGACACGGTTATACTTCTTTCCCAAGCTCAGCCAAACTTCTTGTGAAGACTGAAGACCGTACACAGATCTGAGAGCTTCTTCAGACAAAGATCCGAAAAGCCAAGCCATGACAAGTTGGTCTTTTCTGATCCACTTAACAAACTCGGGATTAGCTTGTTCAACTGCAGCATCTCCATCTCTGACCGTGATAGTAGGAGAAGGACGAAGAGAGCTTCCATTGACAAACCCTAGAAGAGATTGACTTGAAAGAAATGACTCAAATTGAGTTTTCCACAAGAGATAATTTGTGGAAGAGAGTTTGAGAGTAACACACTGTGATATACTCAGAGTAGGAGACGAAAAAGAAGGATTGTCTTCCATGGCTCTGATACCATAAAGACAATAGAAACAGAACGGCGAAGAAGATAACTTGAACTTTTTATGTTATTCAACTTAACCTAAAACCCTTACACAGTAAAGTCTTTATATACAAGAGGGAACAAAAAGAACTTTAACCTAGCACCCAGTCCAGTCAGCACATGACAGCACATGGCGACAAACATCCAAAAGTATTGTGAGTCTTGATAGCTGNGATAACTTGAACTTTTTATGTTATTCAACTTAACCTAAAACCCTTACACAGTAAAGTCTTTATATACAAGAGGGAACAAAAAGAACTTTAACCTAGCACCCAGTCCAGTCAGCACATGACAGCACATGGCGACAAACATCCAAAAGTATTGTGAGTCTTGATAGCTGGCTCTTCCGTACTACACACTCCTCTGTTTTGTCTCTTGTTAAACGCAGAGTATATGACCGTTGCAGAAGCTCTCGTGTTGGGCCTTTCACTAACACTCTTCTCATGGGCTACGTGAGTAGACTTCAGGCCCAACTGATTATTAAATCAGACCCACGAGCAAAGGAATCATCATGGTAATAACAATAACAATCCATGAATAGAAGAAAGGTTTCAGTTTGTAATGGGTTCTCTTCAGTTTGGTTATAAATGCTCTGTTTATCTGTACTTCAGAGACCTATTCAAATTCCAACAAAGACCTCTGCTTTTATCAGCTTTGATCAATCTTTCTTTTTTTTCCCAGACGGGTTGTCTAAGAATTCGAATCTTCTTTCCTCAAATTGATTCTCTTAAAACCATACTCTGTTCCGACAAGAACAGTTATCAATCGACTATGTTTCATTTTCTTTTTTGTTTTTTAGGTCGAACATTTTCTGTTTTGTTTGATTCTTATCCTCTTGAGATTATTTTGATCGCAGGGAACTGAGGAAGAAAACAATAAGAGGTGGCCTCCATGGCTTAAACCTCTGCTTCGAGAAAAGTTCTTCAAGCAACGCAAAGTCACACAAGAGTGAGTGTAACATGTATTGTTTAAACTGTACCAATGGTCCTCTTTGTTCTCTCTGCCTCTCTTCCCACAAGGATCATCATGCTATTCAGGTTCGTATTTTATTATCCGACTCTTGTTTACATTCTTTCATAAAAAAAAAATTATCTTCTTCCTGAGAACAAAAGAGAAAAAACAGAGCATCTTGATGCTTTGTGTTAGTTTGGTTGGTAATCTACCTCTTACTTCATTTATTTCTTCTTACCTTTTGTATTTTGATTAAATTACAGATAAGGAGATCGTCGTATCACAATGTTATAAGGTTGTCGGAGATTCAGAAATTTCTGGACATAACAGGGGTTCAGACATATGTGATTAACAGTGCTAAGGTTGTGTTCTTGAACGAGAGACCTCAGCCTCGATCGGGCAAAGGTGTTGTCAATACCTGTGAAGTTTGTTATCGCAGCCTTGTCGATTCCTTCAGATTCTGTTCTCTTAGCTGCAAGGTAACCCCAAAAAGCATTTTATGCTATGGCAAGAGTTGAAAATAAAAATTACATTGAAGATGGGTGAGCAACGCCGTCAGAGTTTAATGTCTTTGATCTTAATCCTTGAAGGGGTTAGTTGGATGTTTTCTGTTTGATTAAATGTGAGAAAGTAAAAAAAATTCTTTCTTTAGTTGGAAAATGTAGGAAAATCAATTTGTAGTTTCTAGTACTTTTGGTCTGAAATATAAATAAAGATATATATATATATATATACATTACTTGAGAGAAAATCAACTTAGCTTGTTGGGGTCAATAGACCCAATACCAAAGGTTATTTTAGGTTTTTTTTGTAACACAAGGATATTTTAGGTTATGAGAATATAAATAAGCATAAATATTTTTTTTTTGATAAATTCTATCAGCTGATCTAGTGGGCCTAAGAAAAACGTACTTAGTGCTACAAAGTGAAATAAGTATAAACTTAGTTGGATAAATTATTATCTTATCTTCAATAAGATTATTTTTTATTTATATTGCTTTTGTATTTGGACCGTCTTTTATTCTTTAGGCCTTGTTTGATGGGAGCTGAGAAAAGGACTTTGAAAGAAAATAGATTTTCTTATGGGTGCGTGAGAAAATGTGGGGTCAATAAGTTAAAGAAAAAAGAATAGCATTTGGGTTGACGCGAGAAAGTAGGGGAGAAATTCCAAGTCAATCAAAAGCTTCGACCTTAAGTAACCATTTCATACGTTACTTCTATATGGTTTTCAAGATCTGAATATTCATTAGAGACAATTTTGTTCCATTTTAGAAGACTATTACTAAGATAACTCTATCAACGACATAATACTTATATCATGGATCGTTACTTTTTTACTAGATCGCTGGAATCTTCAAGACTTTTGGCAAGAAAAGAAAAGATTTTACAAGTCTTTCAGATTCTGTTGATTCGCATAACAGTATTACTAGTATTGGAAGATTCAAGAAGAATGATGAAATGATTCATGATGGTTTCACGCCATCACCACCACCTCTCTCGACTGTAAATCGACGAATAGCAAAATGAAGGAAAGGGATCCACACCGTGCTCCTTTTGGAGAACTGATCACAGAGTATTAAGAAAATGGTAATGTATCATCTTGTGCTAATAACTACCATCTAGTACGACTCTGCGTGGAGTAAATGTATGTGTATATTATGTCTATAATGGTATAAAGCAATGTGAAAAAGAGAAGCTTAACATAATAGTGTCTAAGTAGATACGAAAGGGTCAGAAAGTGCCAAAGATCATATCTGATCTATTTGTTTCATGTGGGGTTCATAGTATTCATGAGCATTTCCAAAAGCAACTTCATAATTGAAGTTGATAAAACTTCAAATTTAAAGTGGAGGGTGTGCATCTCCAAAATAATAACTTCAAATCTAACTTAAAAAATTTATTAAAAATTAAAAAAATCACAATACTTTTATATTAAAATAGAAATGTATAATAAATATTTTACAATTAATATAATCAATATAATAGTACATTCTAATTCAAAATTATACAAAAAGAAGTAAAACTAAAAACCAAATCTCTAAATTAAGGACTAAAATGAAAAGTATAAAAATTGAAAATGTAAATGAAATTAAATAAGATTATATAATATAATAAAATTAGAAAAACTAAAAGGATAAAGATAAAAGTTGACAGTATTATAATAAAGATTTAAAGTTCAAAAAATGTATAAGATAGACAAAAATTATAACGACTAAAATGATATAAATAGAAGTTAACAATATTATTTGAAAAACAGATATTTGTAAAGACTTAAAAAGAAAGAACTTCAAATATAAAATTTTGTATCGTAGCACTTCAAATATAAAATTTCACTATTCAAAACTTCAAATTTTAAAGTTTGAAATTGTTTGTGGAGCATGTAAAACCTCATTTATTTGAAGTTGCCTTTAGAGATTCTTAATGATTCATTGTAAGTAGAGGTGGTGATAAGGGTTTATATGTCTTAGAGCAAATCAATGTAGTACGGTAAATAGAGTGTCAATCCAATCCTGAGAGCTATTGAACAAAGAGAAAGCAAGACATTGCTAAATCTAAATGCAATCAACGAGGGTTTGTTTTATAAGTAACTAGTAACAAGCAATATGTAAACAAGAATAACTAAGATTTGGTTTCAATGAGATAAAAGAGCATATGAATAACGGTATTGACTTTGGGGTGATCAAGTTACTATCTAGGGTGAGGTTTCAAGCAATGATTCATATCCTATAGGTCTAGACACAATTCTAAGCTAGTCTTTGGTCAAGTAAAAGCTCATTTGCTATCAATCTCTAAACACAAATGGTCATTGGTCTAAATCAATCTAGCAATCATTGAGAACAAGTCTACTAACCATCTAAGCCTTCCTAACATGAAGTGTCCTAGGTTAAACAAGCAAAAAACATTATTACTTTGGTTCAGGCATTTCATCATACACCTTGTGGGCACAAAATGCCGAATGATCTAGTTTAGAAGGATTATGTCTAATCTAGCATTGGGAATACGTAATAAGCATAGGACAAGAAAGATCTAACACTAATCACCCTAGATCATCACTTAATCACCCTAATCACCCTAACTCATAAGCTCAAAGAGAGTATACTCACCCAGCTTCATGTTTAATCTTAAACTCATGATGGATAGAAGACTAATCATGACTAGAAGAAAAGATAGACTCAAATTACTCAAGAAACAAAGATTATATTAATCAAAGATAGACTCAAATTACTCAAGAAGATATCATTTCCAAAAGGGATTACAAGAGTATTTATATGGCATTTGGAAGCACAAGGGTTTTGTCTACAAAATGACCAAAAGGACATAAAAAAATAATGGAAATTTCATGTTAGAATCACTCGGCCTCGAATCTACGGACTGCTCCAGCCCGCGGGATCTGTCCGCGAAATTCACTTGAAACATCGACCTCTCGGGCGAGAATCCACGGCCTGGCATTGGACCGCGGAACCTATCCGCGGAGTTGGTCCATCTTTAGGGTCCTTCTCGGGTTGAAATCTGCGGCTTGGCATTGGTCCGCGGTAGCTGTCCGCAGAGATGGTCCATCAAGCTCATTGGCCTGAATCCGCGGACGGCTCTTGCCAGCGCCTGTGACCCGCGGTTAAGGCTCCCCTCTTTGCATCTTTCTCTATGTTTGCTCCTCAAGTTTCCAAACTTCAACCTAAGCTTTTCCAAACCTGAAATACCACACATGCACATGCTATGCACCTAAATGGGCTCTAAATGTAGCTTGAATGATTGAAATGTGGATGGAATTGATGAGTAAATCGTGTAAAATCTCAGGAAATCAATTCCCCTAAACTTGTCTTTACTTTTTCTCAAGTAATTAATTAAGATCAAAGGGAGAGAAAATGATAATGGAAGCTTAAAACCTATGGATACACTTCTTATACTCAACACCACATCCTAAACAAACATAACCTATAGCATAAACAATCTCAATTAGTACACTCTAGCTTCTCAAGGCCTATCAAGACTCATTGCTTTAAACAAGTTGTGGATCACCAATCAACAAATCTCCTCAACCAACCCTCACATTCAATCAAGCATAAGCAATAAGATGAAGTCTTGCAAATGGAAACTTGATCTCAATCATTTGGCTTGGTAAGTGAAATGGCTTTTCAATACATTTCTTTTTAGTGGCTTACACTCAAGAATATGAGCTTTATCATTATGCAAAATCTATCTAAGAAAAGGAGCAACTTATGCATACATTGCTTGTTCTTATGAATCTACCATTTTCCTAGACATATTTAAACTCTACCCTTTTTCTTGATGTAAATCTCAACCCCATTAATTCTCAAAAACATTAAGATCACTCTCTTATTTCACTCACCCAATGATTTCTTTCTCTTTTCTTTTCTTTTGAACCAACTAGGGACTTTTTCTTTCACTTTTTACTTGAACTCTACTCTTATTTTCTTATGTCTTCCCCAAAGTCTTTTCTAGACTCTGTTCTTTCTTTCTTTTCTTTAGTCAAAGAGGTTTTTTATTTGAGTTTTTAAGAGTTTTTGTTTTTTTTTTATTCCTAGTGGTTTTCTTTTCTTTTTCTTTTTCTTTCTTTGGTTCATTCTTTTCACTCATCTAACACCCCAAGACCCAAGATAAACTCTTTTGCACCACAATACCAAACTTTCCATCCTAATTGCTAGCTCTCAAGAGGTTCTATAGCTAGCCTGAGATAAGAACAACCAATGTCGCCCCTAATACTCTCAAGTTTTTTGCACATAACAAGTTATCAAAAGAGACCTCACACAAGCAAAATATTTAGGCTTCAAAGAATGGTAAGGGTTTAAAGGTGTGGGAGTGCCATTTGGGTTTTATAAAGAGTGGTAGAAATGATAAGTAAAACCCAAATGTGTATAATCCATGACCAAGCATGCAAGAGTGCATATGCAAGAAGAATTAAGTTCATTTAGCTTTTAAATACTTTTTGGAGTTGGTTTAAAGAGAATGTCAATCTTACATAAGTAACAAGTTTCAAGAAGAGTTTTCAAGGCTCAAAGAATGCAAGCTTTTCAAGAGATGCTTAAGCTAATGCTATGATCAGCTAGGGTGAAGTTTTGAGTTCTAAGCATGTGTTTCCTTACTAGGTCAGCTTCCAATGAATGAATGCAATTTAAATGCTTCTAGACTCAATCCTAAAGATGCAAATGATGCAACCTAAATGCTTGTTTTGTTTCTTTTTGGAAAATTTTGAAATATTTTTATTATTTTTCTATGCATATATGTATGTACAATACAATTCATGAGACTCAAAATCAAAAAAGAAAACATGATCAAATACTTGGTAGCTCCCCCAAACTTAAATCAAACAGTCTCTGTGTGAGTAAGAGAGAAGGAGATACCAAAAATATGATAAAAGCAATGGTATATACAAAGAATGGTTGGAGTGATACCTCAAGTGGGAATGAGCAGTGTTGTGGTTATTGGTGTTTGAGCATGACCTTTGGGCATACTGAGGAGACCCCCAAACTTGTTTCTGACCTTATTCAACAGAAAAAACAGCAATATATATATATATAAACATAAACATGGAAATTCCTCCTAAGTGAGCTTGTTTAAAGTCTCTTAGCTTGACTATCTCTGTTTACCTATGGAGAAGGAGGATCCTTCCCACCTTCAAGGGTGATGGTTAGGACATGTGTAAAGAACTCTTGGAGCTTGAGTGGATCAGCTTGGAGTTGAGGAGAGATAATGGCCCTGGCGCTGGAGAATGGCTTGGACCTTCCCTTGCACTTGTTCTTATACTCAATGGCTCCAACCTTTAGCTGTAGTGGGTGAAGAGTGAGAGTGGGGAGTGAGGAGCTTTCATCTTCTTCTTGCTTTGAGTGGCCTTAGTGGGTTCACTCATCTCCTCCTTGGTAGTATTTCCCAAGTGCTCTACATCACTCTTCTGTAAGGACCTTTCACCAAGAACTTCTTCCTCCTTAACAACCAATGCATCTCTCAATATTGTTCCACAATAACTTCCATTCAGCAATGGTGACTTGATCGGATAAGAGACTTCCATGTTGACATTATGGCTAACCACCTTCTTGTTTGGGAAGTCTATGCAAGCTCCCACCGTAGCAAGGAAGGGCGTGCCTAAGAGCAATGGCATTCTCCTCTTGCTTGCCATATCAAGAACAATGAGGTCTATGGAGATGGTGCAATCTCCAATCTTCAAAGGGAAGTCCTTGATGAGACCAATAGGTGTTGTTGAAGAAGAATCCCCAAACATGAGGGAGGAGTTGTTTGGCTCCATGCCTTTGATCTTCAAGATCTGCACCATCTCCAATGAGATCACATTCACATAAGCTCCACTATCCACAAGTGCATCATCAACTTTGACATCACCAAGGTAGCAAGGCAATATGAACTTCCCTTGATCTTCTAGCTTGGGTAGAGGTTTTGGTGGAGGTTTAGGATCCAGCAAAGAGGAAGAGATGTCCAGAAGATCTGTCACTTTTTCTTTGTTGGCTATAATGTCTTTTATGAGCACTAGCGGGTCACAAGCCTCTTGCATATTGGAGATCTTAGGGAGATTGATTCCAACATCACTCAACTCCTTCCTAAACTTGGAGATCACCTTCTTTTGAGCTTTGGTGATGATCCTCTTTGGGAAAGGGAGATAGCTCAACATCCTTGTCTTCTTCAAGCTTAAACACTTTAGTTCCTTCAAGCTCAAATTCTTGCAATTGTTGGACAGCTTCTTTACCAACCAGTTTCTCACCCTTGTGATCAACCTCTGCACCAACCTTCTCCACAGCTTGGAGCTTAACTTTGGCTCCAACCTTAGCATCAACATTCTCATCAATCTGAGCAGCAGCCTTGGTTTCAATCTGTTCCTCAACCTTCACAAGTTCAGAGCCATACAGCAATCTTTCTATATCATCAACGTCACTCACATGATCAAACACTTTAGTCTCAGGGACAGTATGTGAGAGGACAACATTGCAATGGTCCTTCCCTGGTCAACGAGAGGTTGATTTCGTTGAAGAGAACTGGTTCTCTAAAGCTTTGAACTTGTTGTTTAGCTCCCCATAACAACCATCAATGTTTGTGTTGAGATTTCTCAACTCAGTTCCTATATGCTTCTCTTGCCTCTGCTGAGCTTCTAAGATGGTTATCAACATGGCTTCAGTGTCAACATCTTTAGTAGGAGAGGGAGAAGAGTTATCTTGGCGTGGAGGAGCTTGGTTGTTTTGGTTGGTTTGGTAATTGGGATTGTAGGGAGGCTTTTGGTATTGGGGGGTTTTGGCAATGGAAGTTTGGTTCTTTCCTATACCAAGATCCATTGGCATTGATGAAGCATACCTCTTGGTTTCCCTCAATACCCTCAACAACATTCAACTTAGGTGTATCCTCTTGAGCACCCACAAGGTTTCCCTTCTCTTGCTTGGTTGGGAGTCACTACAAGAAATGTGGGTATTAATAGCATCGGATTATAGCGTTTATTACAGTTATGCTATTGTATATTGACAGTTGCTTTTTTATAGCGTTTTATCAATTTAAACGCTATATTTGTTATCGCGGGAAAATTATTTTTTTAGCCGCGTTAATTTGCTAAGTGTAGGTGTCTTACCATTGTAGATCCAAAAGTAAACGCTATAGTAAATGTAAAATATCTCAAATTTCAGACAAAAATCCAATGTTTATCTTTATCCAATGTTTATCTCTATAGCACATTTAG